TGTTTGAAGGTCGGCTATCAGGGAGTGTGTCCATCGACCTTTTGTGCTCGCGTTCCAGTTTTGTTGCCACTGCTGGATCAGTTGCTCGCGCGCCCTTGCCGCGGCAGCTGCTCGACCTATCTCGGCACTGAGATTGTAAATCTCTTTTCGCTCGTAAGCAAGTAGCTCAATTGGCATGACGCCAGAAATAACTAGAACCGCGTCCGCGGACACTGTACGGTATGCAGAAGCAATGCGTAGTGCCCCTCTGCGCTGTACCGAAGACATTTGAACCCGGTATTTTTTGACTTTCAATGCGTCAGCCCATATTTCTGCCCCGTACAGGAGCACCGATTGGACCGCTGTCATCAGAAGCTTCCTGCGGCATGGCTTCGGGCCGCCCACGTTTGCCATCAGCCGGCTTAGAGCCGCCGTGCCCTGCGCAGCTTTTTCACATACTCCATGGATGTGTTCCCAGAATGTGAGTTTGCTGTCCAGCTTCACCCCTAGGTATTTTGTAGACCTAGAAGTCGTCACGGGTTGAGGTCCGACCATTATATTTATAATTGTTGGGATCCGTTTCCTGGTGAGGAGCACGATCTCCGTTTTGGCTGTAGCCAATTGCAGACCGTGATCGCTCATCCATCCACTGACGTTGCGCATGACCTGGTTTAGCTTGAGCTGTGCTAGCTGGACATTTCTTGCTGTTATGACGGCTGCCACGTCGTCCGCGAAGGCGACAAGGAAGGCGCTCTCCGGCATTTCCGTGCGCAACAGACTGTCATACGTGGCGTTCCAGAGGTCCGGGCCAAGTACAGACCCCTGTGCCGCTCCGCCGGTTATACGTCTCTTTCTCTGGCCTTGTGTTGTGTCGTACAAAAGCCAACGGTCTCTGAGGTAGTCCCGGATCATATCTAGCAAGTATGTTGGAACCTTGAATGACCGTTCCAAGGCCTCCAGCATATCGTCCCATCTTGCCGAGTTGAAGGCGTTCTTGACGTCCAGTGTGACTAGCAGCACTATTGGCCGCGCCTGGTGGCAGGCTTCTTCGGCCTTATGTACCGCCTCGACTACTTCGCCAATTGCTCCTATAGTTGAGTGTCCCTTCCTGAAGCCATGTTGTCGGGGTGAAAGGCCTCCCTCGCTTTCTATGGCTGACGTCAAGCGTATTTTGAGCAGACTCTCCATCATTTTGCCTGCTGTGTCTAGCATGCAGAGTGGCCGGAAGGATGAAGGAGAGTTTGGGTCCCCTTTGCCCTTGGGTATAAGCACCAGTCTCGCCTTCTTCCATTGGCTTGGGAAAACCCGGGCCCTAAGGCAGCTGTTGTACATGTTAAGCAGAAGATCAGGGCTCGTTTCCGCTGCTAACCTGATTGCCTCCGCTGGTATGCCATCTGGGCCTGGAGCCTTGCCGGCTTTCATGCTTCGCAGGGCTAGCTTCAGCTCGTCTGTCGAAAACAGTGGTGCCTCGGCTTGCTCCTCGACGAACACTGTGTCGGCTCTTAGTGGGTGTGTGGGAAATAGCGCATCCACTATATTCTTAACTCGGGCCTCATCCATCGCCTGTGATGATGTATGGAACTTTTTCATCACTATTTTGTATCCCTGGCCCCAGGGATCGCGATCCACTTCGTCGCATAGCGCTTTCCAGCAGTTCCGTTTGCTCTTCTGTATCTCGGCCCCAAGTGCTTTCTTTGCGCTTTTGTAGGCTGCTGCTCTGGTCAGCGCCTCGGGTCTACCACGAGCGCGCGTTGCGAGTCTCCGCATTCTATGGCAGGCCCTTCGCCGCTCAGCAATTCGGTCATTCCACCAGTATACCTGCTTTTTACCTGACCATGCTCTCCTCTGTGGCATTGAGGCTTTGCATGCCCGGTGAATGCAGCGCATAGTTTCTTCGACCAGCTTAGTACAAGACTCCCTGTTGTGGATCTCTCCCGTTGTGGGTGAAATGCCTTGGGAATCTGCTAGGAGTGACGTATCGAACTTGCGAACATCGACCCTAGACGGGTTCCATCCTGGTTTCCTGCGAGGGATACTACGTGTTTGCCCTCGCGTGATGTCAGTGACTTGGAAGGTGATGTAGTTGTGGTCGCTACCACTCAGGTCTTCCATCACTCTCCATCCGTCAGCCCTTCGGAGAAGGCTTTCTGAGACCAGGGTTATGTCGGGGATAGAGTATCCAAAACCCGGCCTTCGATATGTAGGGGTCGTTCCGGTGTTGAGGATGGTCAGGCCAATGCGGGCTGCCATTTCAAGGACCAGTCTTCCCCTGGTGTTTGTTTGGGGCATACCCCATTCCACGCCTCTTGCGTTGAAATCTCCAGCAACAATTATGTGGCCGGTTATATCGCGCAATTCGTCTTCAAGGTCTTCGAGCTTTCCCCTGAAGACAGGGACTGTGTCGTTTGGAGACAGGTAGCAGCTCACCACAGTGATTTGCGCCATTTTAACCCAGACGTAGCAGCGTCCTACCCCGCTGCTCTCTGCGCGATGGTTGGGGTTAGCAATCCATATCGCGGCCGAGCCTGATTGGTCAACATGCCAGGTTTCTTTTGTTCTATAGGGTTCACTGATGATGACAGCGTCTGCTCTTTGTTCAAGAACCAATTGGTCCAGCAGGTCATCAGCTACCCTACTCCTGTTCATATTGCCTTGTATAAATTTAATCATATTCTCCCAAGCTTTGTCTTAGCCTCAGCAAGGGCATCCCTGAAGGCTTTGCACGCTCCCGACCCGGGCAGGTGATGGGAATTTTTCTGTCCATCTCCTGCCGAGCACAGGTAGCAGCTTGGGCTTTCTTTACACGCAGAGGCTATGTGGCCCTGCTGACCACATTTCCAGCATGAACTGCTTCTGTCTGGGCCTTTGCATGCCGCCTTTTTGTGGCCATACCCCAGACAGCGGATACACCTTTGGACATCCGCGCGCTCTCGGACGCGGCAGATAATCCAACCTACTCGCAGCTTCCCCTTTTCAATAAGAGTCCGGCCTGGCAGTTCATCGATTTCCACCACGGCCATTCTTTGTTCTCGCGAGTTTACAGCGAGGAGAGAGACGCGAAGTTGGCCATTCATCTTGTCTCCTAACTCCCCGCGTATAGCGTTCTCCACTTCTGGGGCCGTGGTTAGGCAGTCCATGCCCAGAACTTCTAGACGTAAACGTCTAGTGAGAATACGGGCGTCTCCAAGCTGGCCAATGGCAGTGCACACATTTTCCTTAAATGCTGTGTGGTTGCCACAGCGCTCCATTTCGATGAGCACGCCGCCTTCGCGGGTTTTCCGAACAGATCGAATTACGGTCTCCGTCTTCTCGGGTTGGAGCTTACC